AGCAGCAACAGCAGCAGCAGCAGCAGCAGCAAAGCCTTATGTTGGGACACCTCTTAAGGACTGGGAGTCTTTCCCGTGGCCGCGGTATCTTGAGGGGCTTCGTCTAGGCGAACAAGTGAGCTGCTGCTGCTGCTGCTGCTGTTGCTGCTGCTGCTGCTGCTGCTGTTGCTGCTTCTGATGCTGCTGTTGCTGCTGGATCACCACACCGGTTCTTAAAATTTTGCTTCTTCATGAGCTTGAGGGTTTAGGGTTTTCAACCTCAAACCGAGGGTTTAGGGTTTAGGGTTTAGGGTTTATGTGCAGATGGAGTCGCTGCGTTACGGGCGCGAGGTGGTTGAGAAAGAAATGCCGGCACTCGCTAAAGCCCTCAAAGACTTGGGTAAGAAGAACGTGGGGTTTAGGGTTTAGGGTTTAGGGTTTAGGGTTTAGGGTTTAGGGTTTAGGGTTTAGGGTTTAGGGTTTATGTGCGGTTTGTTTGCCGCTGTTAGTCTCTTTTTGTCTCTCTTTCTGTCTCTTCTTTTTATTACTTGTCTCTCCTCATCCTTTTTCATTCTCTTCAATCCGTTTGTTTGTTCGCTGCTGCTGCTGCTGCTGCTACCACTACCATTCCTGCTGCTGCTGCTGCTACTGCTGCTGCTACCGCTCCCACTCCCCCCCTTGCTCTTCCCCCTCATTCCCCTCCTACTACTAATACTGTTGCTGCTGCTGCTGCTGCTGCTGCTGCTGCTGCTGTTGCTGCGCAGACTTTGATTGGAGACAGGGAGCAACAACAGCAGCACGTGTGCAGCGAGAAGCCGAGGAGTTTGAGTTGCTGCTGCTGTCTCTTCCTGTTTATTTGGTGTGTACTGTCTCCTTTTTTGTGTATTTGTTTTATTTGTTTATTTTGTCTGTTGCTGTCTCTTCTTACTCCTTTATACTCTTTTATATTGAGGAGACAGCTTCAGGAGACTCTCCGATACAAATCCTAAACCCTAAACCCTAAACCCTAAGCAGAAGAAAGAGTTATAGGCCACGGAGTTCAGGGTTTAGGGTTTAGGGTTTACGGTTTAGGGTTTAGGGTTTATTATTGAGGGTGTGGGATGTATGGCTCGTAGTCGAGGGTTTAGGGTTAATGGTTTAGGGTTTAGGGTTTAGGGTTTAGGGTTTGTGCTGCAGGCATCTCGGCCTTCTTTTGGGTCTTCTTTTCGGGGTCCCCCCTCTCACTTTGTGGTGTCTGCAGCAGCAGCAGCAGCAGCAGCAGCAGCAGCAGAGGAGACACCTGGAGTTGGGGTGTATCCGCAGGTGACGGTGGGTTTTCGTCTTGGGGCTGCATGCAGCGCAGCAAGACAGAAAGGAAGATATTTATATTTACCTGGGGCTCTTAAGAGATTAGAGACAGAAGGCAGGCTGCCGCTGCATGCAATACCTGCGCTGCAACGATCAAGAGCATCTCTAGAAGACCTCAAACACTTGCTGCAACAGCAGCAGCAGCAGCAGCAGCAGCAAGAGCAGGAACTGCTGCAGCAACCAGTACAAGAGGCGCTGCCGGGAGAGGCTAAACAGCTGCAGCAGCAGCAGCAGCAGCAGCAACTGCCGCCAGACATTCTGAGCCTTCAGAGAAGTCTAAGAGGGGAAGAAGAGGACAGCAACC